CTGCTTTGCTGGCTGGAAACTGAGGCCACGCTGGGGTCAGCCCCGTCGGAGACCCCCGGCCCCCCGACACGCTCCCCTCAGGAAGCGCGTCTGCCGCCGCCCAGGGCCGCCGCACGGGTCGTCCCGGTGACCTCGGCCGGGGCCAGCGGGCAGAGGGCACAGTGCCGCTGCCAGTTCCGCGCGGCAGGCGGGGTGACACCCTCCCGGGCCCCTGCGGGCTGCCGCCAGCGCACGGCGTCAGGGAGAAACCCGACTCCGTTTTCCCAGTTTCAAACAAATTATCAGCCAGAATCTAAAAATACAGCTGCTCCGCTTTCAGCTTCCGGAGTTTTCCCTTTCCCGCCAGCTTCCCGGGCTGGCCGCCTTCCCGGGAGGGGCAGCAGGTCAGAGACAGACAAAATACAACTCTCAGAGGGCCCCGGGTCAGCTAGCCACGGTGTGGCAAAGCACAAGGTCTTCTGCGGCCCGAACACTACATGAGCAGGACCCGAGCCCGGCCCCAGCCCGACACCCCGACTCCCGAACCGGACCCCGCCGAGCAAGGCTGGGAGGAGGGTCTGGAGCCGGAGGGGACACAGGGGCTCCCGCTGGCCCCGCACTGGGGCCCCCGTGGACGCAATCGGGCCACTTGGGTGAGGGGGGCGGCCTCGGGGCTCCCCGGCCTCGGGGCTCCCCGCCGGGGGGACCCACCTGGTTGCTGCAGGTCCGGTAGCGGATGTTCCGCCCTTCGCAGTCCCTGGGAGGGAGGGGACGGCTCAGCGCCGCTGCCGGGCTGCCCAGCGGGCACTTTCCCTGGGCTCAGGACCCCGGGGCAAGCACAGGCCGCGGCCCCCCTTCCCGCCCCCACCTCCCGCACTGCGCCCCAGCCAGCTCCCCAAGCACGTCTGCGCCTCCGGCCACACGGCCTCACCAAGCGCAGGGCTGGGGCCTCTGGGCGCAGGGGCGCGGCTGCAGCCCGGGCCCTCACCTGCCGCTCAGGCACCTGCGCAGGGAGTAGGACGCGCCCCCGCCGCAGGTGCGCGAGCAGTCGCTCCAGCGCCCCCAGGCGTCCCAGCCGCCGTCTTCCTCCTCGGCCGAGCGGGCGTCGCCGGCCGTCTGCAGAGGGACGCGGACAGG